CTGTTAGTGTTGTGTTGCCATGGATACTGGCTTTCTTTCTGCAGCTTTAGTAACAGGTGTACCACTTGCTTGTTTGTTGGTTCACAAAGAAATCATACCGTATAGTGAGTGATTCATACGAAAGTCGTAGCTAACCGTGACCTGTCGCGTTTGTATGTTAGGATTTGATAATCTTACGACTGAAGGCAATTTTGTAAGGTATGCTATTTTCGAGAGCTGTAAAGGTTCTGCTATTTTCAACAGTTAGCCGATGACAACATGCTATGTTTTTTTATCGTGGCGCATCCCGGTATGAAAGATCGTATATTGTTTTTATTCATTTACCGTCGATCATAGTTATTCTATTCATCGTTCGCGTGGATGTGTTAGTGTATTACGTGTATCTAACGAACGCGTTAACGTGGTAAGGCCGGTGTCGCGTCGAGTGCGCATGCGCGAGTACGTGAACATAAAACTGGTCGGATGTTCATGCATTCTGTTCCGCCGAACCTTTAGGTGTCAGGTACGTTCCTATTGGTTCGCCGTCGAACCTTTAGGTGTCAGGTACTACGTTCCTATTGGTTCGCATCCCTCTCGTCGCGTGGAGAGAGCGTGTTGTGCGTGAAACCGCTATAAGCGAGTCTGGTTAAAACTAAACGAGGCAGCAGTAGGATAAGAACACCTCCCTCTGTGGCCAGCCCACAGTGAGAAAGCAGAAGAGAGTAGTTTGAAGGTGAAGCCGGTACTGTTTCTTGACGTGTGTGTTAGGCAAGACGATGGATGGTACGGGGGAGAAGGTAACAGGACCCAGTCCTGTCCTCCTAGATACTACTATTTGTTGTTATCATGAACGTACATCGGCACCGCATCGACGACAAGTGATTTGGTTCTTGATGATTTACGACACGGTAATGCGACGAACGGAAGTATAACCCTCACAAAGGTCAAGCCGCTCGATGACGTACGTGACCCCGATGACGTTTCCGCCCGTCCGGCGCGTTACCGTTTCGTAAGTCGAGTCTGAGGGGGGGGGGGACGGGTATTTTCGGGACGCGGGATTGGCCATTTTAATTACCTGAGAACTGGGAAATGTCAGATAATTTTTCCGTGATTCGGGAACAGAAGTCTATCGGGACGTGGGAAAGACCCTCTAAAATTGTCTGGGATCTGGGAAAATTGTGTCAATTCGTCGGGATTTCAATTTCTGCGCTAATATTTATTTAAATTTTTATTTTACTTATTTATTTATTAATTATGCCCAGAGAAATAATAGTATGTAAATATTAGTATTTATGTAGTGTTTGAAAACCTAAACTACTGAATTTCCTGAAACATGTCTACATATCCTGGGAACGGGGAATTGGGATTTTATTTTACTGGGAACTGGGATATGGGGTGTTTTTTTGCTGGGAAAGTGGGAATGTACCCCCCGTTAGCCCCCCCCCCGAGTCTGACTCGTGTAACGGGCGCGTGCGTACGTTTTTGGGTGGCCATCGAATATTAGGACGACCCTTCACTTATCCGTGGTGGTTTTAAGGTCTGCGAGGTGGATGCGCGCGCGATGTGCGGTCGGTGTATGGATGGTTTAGACGTGATGATTGTCGTGATGTATTGACGTGATGATTGTCACTTGCATCGGGAATGCATGCTAAGCACGCGCCTTATTACGAACCACGTTACGCACAGGAAACGTGCTATTTTACGGTGTACCTCGGTATTGCGTCGTTGAAGATCGAACAGTTGAAAAAAGATAACTACATATATTCATTCGAGTTACGACATCGATGCGGCGTGATCTGGTTGTGTTGCGTCGTTTCATCACCCGGTAGTTCCTGATTTTAAAACTTTTTTTGATTAGAAGGCGTGACTGGTTCTGCCGGTAGGATGAGCTTGCACGATTGTCATTCGTGACCACGTTGTTATAACGTACGTCGTCGTGAAATTGCGTGCAGCGAGTTAAAATTGTATTGTTTAAGAAAAAATATTGCTGTATGAACTGATCAGTCAAACCGAAACGAAATGGGAGTGAGGAGTTCCGTTGTGTATAATATTTGCTCATGTTGGTTTGTTTTGAGTGCTACTGTATTGTACCTGTTATTTGTGGTATTAAACAGACGCTTTATCCTCACTCTTTGTTTTGCTCTTTATCGACAAATGTTCGCCGTTACATCATGTGAAATTATCGATATTAGATCTGTCCAACACCCATAATAGACAAATTTGTCTTCGCTGTAAGTTTAAAGAAAGCTGTTAAGGTAAAGAAGTTCCAATCGCAGCTGCGCAATCTTCAGCGAATATTGGGTTAACTTCATGAAACATCGTTCCCATAATTTTGCCCCGAATCTACATAAGATCAGGAATGAGTAAAAACAAATTAGTTGTTTTATAATATAATATGATTAATAAACAAATTCGTAATAATATAGATAATATAACAATATTTGTTTTTATTCAGTCCTGATAACGTTAACGTTACAAAATGGTAGGGCAATGGTAGGTAATTGTCTTGCATTAAAATTAATTACGGGAATACAAGCGAATTGTCGTCTGCGGTAAAATAACGACATCGGGAGTGAATAAAAACCATGTGTGTGTGTATCTCTCTCTCTCTCTCTCTCTCTCTCTCTCTCTCTCTCTCTCTCTCTCTCTCTCACCGAGTGCAGATTCCATTATACTCCCTCCGGCCTTCGATAAAAAGTTGATTTCTATTCCTGGTATAGATTACATCGTCTTCATTTTAATTTTTTATGTTATTTGACACTGTTTCCAGTCGCATACGATACTTCTCATCCAGCCGAACAAGAAGCCTGACGGGAGGACGTATTCTGACTACGAGTCTGTAAACGAATGTATGGAAGGTATGTGCACAAACTATTATCGTAGACACTTAGTAGGACTTAGATGGTATGGATCATAGCAGACCCGTACCACAGGTCTCAAATATCACTACAGCACCAACAGTAAGTGTCGGGGTTACCCCCCTTTGCCACCCTTTGTGGGCTGCCCCTGAAAATTGGATGATAGGAAAAGTGGATAGGCAATAACTCACATAAGTTGCTGCCTTGGTAGAAATGTCATGGTTGCAAATTTTTGGTTCTGGGTTTTAGCTAGTTTTTGGGTTGGCATTCAGTTGCAATTTAGATGTGGCAACTGATGAGATTTTCATTATAGGAATCTGCAAGATGTATGAAGAGCACTTGAAGCGTTTGAATCCCAATTCCCCGAGCATCACATACGACATAAGTCAGTTATTTGACTTTTTAGATCAACTGTCTGACATCAGCTGCCTTGTGTGAGTATTTGCTGCAGAGGTATTTGTCCCTCCAAAGTATAGTCAGTCATATAGTTATATCAAAAGTACTTAAGTCTCTCCTCTTAGCATCTATATCGAAAAAGTTATTTTTAAAGTTCTGCAATTTTAAGATATGTCATAATCACCCTTATATGAAGTTTGTCTGAGCCATAGACATTGAATTGACAGTGCTAAATGCTGTAGATGTTCCCTCTCTTCATTGTTGTCATTGTAGGAGAGCCATAACCCTGTATGCAATCTTTACAGGTTCCAGAAGAGCACAAACACATATGCGCCATACAACAGGGATTGGATCAAAGAGAAGATATACGTTTTGCTGAGAAAGCAGGCAGGTGTAGGGGTGAAGTGAGTGTGAGGAAGCAGCGATGACAACCGTCTTGGTCCGACGATCATTCCTTCCGTGTTTGTACAGTTTTTGGCTGCCATGGAGTTGTGTACAGTGTGTACGTTGTGTGGGATTGCAATACTTGCGATTCAATGCGCTAGATGATACTGCAACGGAACCCTCGTCACAGAAACATCCAAATTGCTGCACTTTCCAAGGCCCTAGCTTTTTCTTTAACGATTCATCGTAACTGGGAGAGATGCGAAGAATGGAACATAGAAAACTTTCGTTCTTCACAATAATTTTATACAGATAATTTCTTACAGATAATTTTATAACACACAGGCTCCACTTGCACGGACACCTTTTTTAGGGTGACATATTTTTGTTGTTTCGACGCGTTTCAGATGGTCATATGTTTCGTGGTAGCTGGGGAACGCGCACCTCGTTAGTGGTGGCTGTATGATTTTTGCAGATGCCAAGCAAGCGTATAAAGCAGAAATTCCCAACCTTTTACTGTTTTAGTCCACTGCCCCCTTGGCTCCATAAGCTTATACCCTGTGACCCCTGCTGTACCTTTTATATGCTTACGCCTACCACCTCCTTGGTTAACCCCACAGCTCGAGGGGGGCGACATACCCACTTTACGAAATTCTGGTCCAAAGCAATGTTAAACTTGACGGGTGAGGAACAGTTACGACAATGTTCTCGTTCTGATGCAATATTTGGATAAGATTTTTCCCCTGGTGTATTAGACATTTGACCAAGTACATGTCAGGTAGGTGGAACTATAGGTTACTTCTTGCTCGTATCAAATATATGTTGGTGTCTTGCATAGGTCTTGCACTTGTATAAGTTGGAATAAAATTTTAGCACGGTTTTGCATTAGCTATCTATTAATCTACTGCCACTGCAGGTAAACTTTTTCCCATTTTTTCTTGTGGTTGCGAATTTGTCACCAGTTTTTCAGTGAGCATTTGCGACACTGCATACTCGAAATGTTTTGCTTGGAAGATTGTTGTATTGTTGAGTGTATTTAATTTCACCACGTAGTAGGTTCATTATCCTGGGTCATTTGTTGCACGGAAAACTGTACCTCGAACATACTTTTGAGGGAAAATTTGGTAATGTAAGTGTGCCAATATGTTTTATTGTATTGAGTAGTGATTGTGTTTTATTTTGATGATTTTCTGAACACTTGACTAAACGAGCAGTCATTGTAGTGTGTGCGGGGGGATCAGTGGCGTAGCTTTCAGCATTATGTTCGGTTTGAATTGTTCTACCTGTCAGTTTTTTATAATTTAATAGTGGCTATGAAGATGTTTAGTTAATTGTAGATAATTAGAAATAAATGGAAACAAGTTGAAACATGCTGATGGGTATCTCTTGAAGTTGGCGGCTTGATATATTTATGAAACCTTGTGCTACCTTGTGCTATAACAACATTATTGGCATATTAACTACTTGTTTAGAAAAGCAAACCAATAAACTCTAAAACTAGTTAATGCTGGAAACTAGAGTAACGCTATTAGATCGTCAATATTTAAGTGCATTCTTCTTTACGCTATATCTTATGTTGTATACTTGACACCTACACGTGAACCAAGAGTTTTTGGGAAAAAATTGTGTGAATATGCAAATAGGAAATATGGATGTGTCTGTGGCTGAACATACCAAAATGCAAATGCAATTTCTTGCAGTTGGGTTTCAATAAACGTGTTTTATCATTATTCTATACCACTTGCATTCATGTTTCTTTGTATGGTCATTATTACAGACATAACTAATTAAATATTTTACTTATTGTTTTCAAACAATTATGTTGTCATCTCATGATTGCTTCACTTTTACAAACGTATGTGAGACATGAAACTCGGTTTTTTTTAATTGAAAGTAGTATTACAAAACGCAAGTTTTGTGGAAGGGGTAATCAAATTCTGTTTTGAAACCTCAATTTTAAAATTTTGTGTAGAAAGTTGTAAAGGCTTGCTATTTGATTTCAATGACGTGTAATGTGAGTCTTCAATGTGTTTATTATTACACATATGTACAGTCAATCCTGTGTTAACAGATACTTATAGAAAGGTCGCCGATCTATAAATGACAGTTGAACCCTTGAGTGGCAGTTATACAGTAAAGCAACCTCTCTAAGCCGGACACCTGTCTGTGAAGGACAGGGTATGGTTTCTCTTGAGTGACCTTTGCTTTCAAGTTGACTATATTTTCAAGCAATCAATCTAGCTTGCAATGTTTTTACGTGGTCCAGTCTATTATGATAGTAGAGTATTTATGAAAATCAGGAAGCTAGAATTGAAGGAGCAATTACAACAACACCAGAGATACGCGCGTGAACCTTACTGCAAACTTCATGATGTACAAGGTAAGAAGAGTAAGGCTATATTACATGGACTGAGTCGTGCCAGCTCCAAATTTATGTGTGTAGTTGCGGTGTACACACGTGTGCAGTATGGGGAAGTTCAGGATGATAGGTCACCTCATAATAAAGTGAACAACTTCCTGATTTTCCATGTTAAACTGGTTTCTGAATTTGTCAATATGTTAATTTATATAATGTACGCGTATAATATATTTGTGACGATAGATGGCGCCACAACGTCATATTTGCCTTTATACGTATGTAGATTAGAAAATATTATGATACAATAATTATTTATGTAAGATTACCAACGAAACGAGATGCGTGGCCAAAAAGCTGCTACTATATATGATAATCTACAACATTTTTAATGCAATCCCGTACTATCTTACAGTACATAACAACGCAGTTGTGTTTCTAAGAATTTTGACTATATATTTTACTATAATATATAAGTGGAAGTACTTTATTCTAGTTAAACCAAAGCAAATTATTTGGCTTTTAGCTACACACAATACTTGGAAATTTGGCTTTTAGGCACTAAAATAGGGGAACGATTTTTCACGTTTCTGAAGTTGTAATCTGTCAATTTATATAATGTGCGCGCATCATTTATTTTTCACGATAGGTGGCGCCACGATGTTATATTTTTTTGTACTCGCTTATAAATTAGGTAAGACTACGAGATCATTTATATAAAATCACAAGGGACAAGAGATAATAATTGGCCAAAAAGGTGCTGCTTTATACAATACTTCACACCATTTTCGATGCCATCACATACGATATTACAGTTGCAGGAGCCCATGCCACCAGAGGTGCCAAATACAGTCGATCAATTACCACAATCACCAGGGCTTCTCATTCAGCTCATCTTCTTCTTGGGGCAATTCAGTATATTTCAATATTATCAATAACAGTTTTTCAATATAAGTGAATTGAATATCCTTTGAATTGAATTAAGGCTGAATGGATTAGGGTTGTATCCGACAGAATTTTTGAACGATTACTGTATTAATTCACTTAATTGTGGCCGTATATTTTATATCTTGAAATAGTGAGTATAGTGGCGTAGTTTATTCAATTTCAGCTGAGCTTCTGTCTTCTATTCAGTCCGACTTCATTTAACTTTTTGTCACATACAATACTGTGGAATTGGACTTTTAGTCACTTAGTTGGGTTTCTGACCCCCTGGACCAACACATGGATTCACCTTAGCATACGCAAGCACCCCCCCCCCCTCCTCCTCCTCCACACACACACGCGCGCGCACGCACAGAGAGATCGAGAGCGCGCGTACGTGCGAGAGAGAGAGAGAGAGAGCGAGAGAAAGTGTGTGTGTGAGAGAGAGACAGACAGAGAGAGCGCGCTCGAGAGAGAGAGGGGGACAGAGAGAGAGAGAGAGAGAGAGAGAGAAGGAAGAGAGAGAGAGAGAGAGAGAGAGAGAGAGAGGAAAGGAGAGAGAGAGAGAGAGAGAGAGAAGAGAGAGAGAGAGAGAGAGAGAGAGGAGAGTAGAGAGAGAGAGAGCAGGAAGGAGAGAGAGAGAGAACACAGTAATGAGAACTGGTGCGATATTAGATGTCAATTGTGTAATTGTCAGCTGCGCACTTCCTCGAGAGGAGGTCAGATAAGGGGCCGACCGGTAGCGGTTGTGTTGCCATGGAAATACTGGCTTTCTTTCTGCACGCTTATAACAAGTGTACCCACTGCTGGTTGTTTTGTTCACAAGAAATCATACCGTCATAGTGATGAGTTCCATACGAAAGTCGTACTAACCGTGACGTGTCGCGTTGTATGTTGGGATTTGATAAGCTTGTGACTGAAGGCAATGGTGTAAGGTAGGCATTCGAGAGCTTGTAAAAGTTGCTGGCATTTCCCAACAGTTAGCCGATGACAAAAGCTATGTTTTAAATCGTGTTCACATACCGGATGAAAAGACGTATCTATTTTTTATTCATTTACCGTCCCGATCATCAAGCTTATATCTATTCATCGTTCGCAGTGAGTGATTTAGTGTCTACGTGTAATCTAACGAACGTCCCTTAAGCTGTGGAAAGGCCGATGTCGCGTCAAGTTGTCCATGCGCGAGACGTAACGGTGAACATAAAAACTGCAGCGTTCCGTCGAACGCTTTAGGTTCCACGTACGTCCTATTGGCGCATCCCCTGTCCGTCGCGTGCAGGAGTGTGGTTAAACAAACGAGCGCAGCCATAGGATAAGAACATCCTCCCGCTGTGGCCAGCCCAATCAGGCGTAAGAGTCAAGAAGCAAGAGAGTTTGAAGAAGCCGCTACTGGTTTCTTGACGGTGGTTAAACAAGACGATGATGGTAACGGGAGAGAAGGTAACCAGGACCCCTTCCCTGTTCTCACCTAGATGCTATTACTATTGTTTGTTAATCATGAACGTGACATCCAGCACCCGCCCGACATGCGTACAATCAGGTATTTGGGTTCTTTGATCGACTTTACGACACGGCAAATGCGACCGAACGGAAGTAGAACCGCTATCACAAACACAGTCAAGCGCTCGATGAGCGTACGTGAAAACCGCCGATTGACCGTTTCGCCCGTCGGCGCGTTATCCGTTGCGCGTTAAATCCGAGTCTGAGGGCGGGGGGACGGGCTATTCAGGACGCGGGATTGGCCATAGTTTTAAAATTACCTAGAACTGGGAAATGTCACTAATTTTTCCAGTGATTCCGGGAACAGAAAGTCTAATCGGACGTGGAAAGCACGCCTAAAACATGTCTGGATCTCGGGAAAACGTTGCTGTGCAATTCGCGGGATTTCACATTTCTGCGCCTAATTAATTATTTCAAAATTTTTATTGTATCGTATTTATCTGATTTAATTATGCCCAGAGAACATAAAGTATGTAAATGACTTGAGATATTTATGTCTTGGAAACCTATAACTACTGAATTTCCTGAAACATGCTCCCTAGCAATATCCTGGCAACGGCGAAATGGGATTTTATTTACTGGGAACTGGATACTGGGGTTGGTTTTTGCTGGAAAGTGGGAAGTACCCCCCGTTAAGCCCCCCCCCCCCGCCTGATCCTGCACTACGTGTAACGGGCCGCCGTGCGTGAAACTTTGGGTCGGCCATCGAATATTAGAACGACTTCTCACTCATTCGTGGCAAGTGTTGTAGGGTCGCGAAGGTGGAGTGCGCCGCGCGATGATGCGCTCCGTGTAATGGATTGGTTTTAGGACGTATGAATTCGGGGATTATTGACGTCGAATGATCGTCCACTCTGTTTGCATCCGGGAATGCATGCTAACGCACGCGCCTTATACTACACACACGTACGGCTAACAAGAAACCCGTGCGTTTAACGGTGTACAGGTCGGTATTGTTGCGTCTTGAAGATGCGAAGCCAGTTGAAACAGATAACTCACATCTCGGGTGCGAGTACGACACGAGTGGCGTTCGCGGAATCTGTTCGTGCTGCGATTTCGGTTTCGCTATATCACCTGGTATTTCCCGACTTTGAAACCTTTTTCGAATGAGAAAGGCGTGAACGGTGTCTGCCTGGTGTCAGGAAATAGGCTTGCACATTGTCCATTCCGTGACCACGGCGGCCACCGTTGATACGCGGACGCCTCGTAGTGAAATTGCGGCTGCAGCGCAAGTTAAAATTGTCACTAGTTACAGAAAAAATAGTGCTCGTGATGATAACTGTCAGTCAAACCGAAACGAAACGGCAGGAGAGTTCCGTTGTTTTTGTCCATAAATATTTTGCTCATGTTGGTATTTGTTTTGAGTGCTATTCTGTATCTAGTCACCTGCCTATGTGTTGGTATTAAACAGACGCCCTTTAATCCTCCACATCACTTTTGTTTTGCGCTTGACGACAAAATGTTGCGCACTTTACATCATGTGAAATTAAATCGACTTATAGATCTGTCCCAAACCCACCCATAATAGACAAATGTCTCGCGTATGAGCTTTCAAACAGCAAACGCTGTTAAAGGTCAAAGAAGTTCAAATCGCAGCTGCCGCAATCTTCATCGAAATATGGTTAACTTCCCACCCTGAAACCACGTCCCCATCATAATTTTGCCCCGATCTACATAGATCCAGGAACTGAAGTAAAAACAAAATTAGTTGTTTACTAATATAGCAATGATTAAAAACCCAAATTCGTTAATAAATATAGATAACGATAAACAAATTTGTTTTATTCACGTCCTGCATAACGTGGACCGTTGCAAAAATGGTAGGCAAGTGGCCTAAGAATTCGGTGTGCATTACAAGATGAACTACGCGGAATCAAGCGGAATTTTCGTCTGCGCTCAAAATACACGACAATCTCGCGAGTGAAATAAAAACCAATGGCGCTGGTGTCGCTGCTGT